GTTATGACAGTAAAATGCCCTCTTAGCATCTCATAATGAAAGTGAAAATGTTTTGAAAAATGAGACTCACTATATCTCCCCCACCCCTAACTTCTCTGTGTCCCCAGAAAAGACAATGACTCCAAGTTTCAGTTCTTATCAATGGGTGCTAATTCCAATGGGAAGAAAGGAATGGGCTGGTCTTCCTAAGAAAAGATGAACACCACTTTTTAAAAACCTTGCAGGTATTTTATGCAAGGTTTTTTAAAAACCAGATGTGGGTCTATTAAGCAAATTTCACAGAAAACTGTCACATCTATGCCTTCCTAACACTTAAATTATAGTAGATACAGTGTCATCAAAACTTCCATAAGCTCTTGGGACAACCTTGAAGGCTCTTCCTTGGATACCAACTTCATGACAGATACCGAGAGGGGGCTTTGCAATTCATCCATTTATTCATTTGTCAAAAATGTCTTGTGCTCCTACTACGTGCCAGGCACAGAGTTCCTGCCCCAAAAGGAAGGGGAAGTGTTGAGGGCTTAAGACGCTGAACATAACCAGATTTCCTACATAATACAATTCAGCAGCATTAAGCATTATGAAGAGAAACAGGGAGAGCAGAAGAGATGGGGGGAGGGTGCCAATTCGGATGCGGTAGTCCCGGAGGCATTTCTGAGAAGGTACCCGAGCTGTCCCCTGAGAAAGCTGTAATTGTCCACACTTTACTAACAAGGTGAAGGGCACTGCTCACCACTGAATCCTCAGTGCCCACCAGGCGTGTGTTCACAGTAAGTACTCAAGAAATACCTGCCCAGAGGACAAGAATTCAAAGGGGCGTCCCAGGCAGCACCGGTGGGCACAGGGCGGAGGCGCCCGCTGTGCCATGGTAGTACCGCCGCCGCACACTTCCCAGGGGGCTGGTCAACTTTCGCGGGCGCTGTCACGGCGAAGGTCGTGTCCTGAGTTCCCGTGGGGGCAACCAGGACAGCAGCACGCCCCCCGCTTTACAGCGAGGACCTACCACCCCTCCAGGCCCAGCATCTCCCACCGCGCAGCAAGGACGCCCGCCTGCCGGCTTCTCTTCTTGGGAAGGGAATGCAGGGGAAAGTGCTGCCGAAACTTTTGGGACTGCGTGCTTTTCTCTCGGCCCGGAGGCGAGGCCGCCCGACAGCCGCTCGGGCCGGCCCGAACCTGCGCTTGCGAGCCG